AGCCTGATTCTCTCGATCCTTCTGGAATACGCTGGTACTTGAGGTGCTGGTGCTCGGTGCTCAGGAGCACCCCCTCCTGGCTGTGCTCCACAGCACCCCCTGGCGGTGCTCTGAGGCCCAGCTGCCATGTGGGGACTGACCACCCAGCGTCTCGGGAAAAGCAGCTGATGCCGGGCAGGCGCCTGACCTGCGCCACCTGGCCCCGGAGATCCCGTTTTTATTTAGGGGCCTGGAGCGAAAGCACAGCAGGTAGGGCGTTTGCCTTGCACGCGGCCGACTCGGGTGCGATTCCTCCGCCCCTCTTGGAGAGGCTGGCAAGCTACCGAGAGTATCTCGCCCGCACGGCAGAGCCTGGCAAGCTCCCCGTGGTGTATTCGATATGCCAGACACAGTAGCAACAAGTCTCACAACGGAGATGCTACTGGTGCCCGCTCCAGCAAATTGTTCATAACAATGGGAGGACAGTGCTACATACAATACTACACAGGTTTTAGGCCACAGCCATGAAGGCCCAAGCCAGAGCTTCTTGCGGGCGAAGCGCGTGGCCGTAGCGCTCTCTCCCTGCTCTATTCGGCCTCACCCCTACTGGCTTCCCACGAGGGCTCCCCTCAGCCCCACCAATACCCCCTGACTCGCTAACAGAGTCACTCTCCCGGGCTGCTCCCTCTCTGGGTCTCAGGGCCAGGGAGCACCAGCCTCTGGTACATGGGCTGCCCCAGGTGACACTCACTCCTGACTTTGGTGGCAGCGACTGTGACCCCCTGACCTCACATAACCCTGCCGACACCCTCCCTGTCCCGTTTCCTCCAGCAGAACCACCGCCTGTCAGAGGAGGGGGTCAAATTGAGAACTCATGGGCAAGGGGGCGAGGAGGGGGGTGTTAGGGAGGAAAGAACGTGCAAAATGTAGTGCCATGTTTCTCGGAAAACTCCTGGCCACCACACAACCACCGCACCCTCGTTTTAAAGCAATAATTCGAGTGAGGAGAGGTATAAAAGGTTTCCATGAGGGTCACATCCCACTTTTTTGCATAAATACTTCGCATAAACTCTGCCCCAATTGTCAACCGCAGTAACCATTTTGTTGTTGTTGTTGTTATTGGGGTTTGTTTGGTTTTTTTTTTTTGTTGTTGTTGTTCATTTGTTTGGTTGGTTGGTTTTTGGGTTACACTAGGTAGTGCTCAGGGGTTACTCCTGGCTCTGCACTCAGGAATTAACTCTGGCCGTGCTCGAGGGACTATATGGGATGTCAGGAATCGAACTCGGGTCAGCCACATGAGAGGCAAGCACCCTACCTGCTGTATTATATCTCCAGTCCCAGTAATCTATTTCTTTTTGTTGTTGTTTTGGAGTTACACTTGACGTACCGTGGGATCACTCCTGAGGGGGCTTAGGGGACCTATGAGGTGCCGGGGGTCAGACCCAGCTGAGCCACGTGCAAGGCCAGTGCATGCCTTTCCCACTATTTTCTCTGGTCCCAGAAGATGGAATTTTCTAGAAGCTGGGTTGTAGCATATATAGGGGTCACTGCCCTCGAAGGCACAGTACACTACTGTTTGGGGAAGTGCCTTGGGGAAGCCTCTCTGAGCCAGGTCTGGGGAGGGCTGTCACCCCTGTGGCACAGTTTGTGTTCCCCTGAGGCGGGCAGAAGCAGCAGTCTGTCCTCCCCGCCACCCGTGACCCCAGTGCTAGCCTCTGCAGAGCCAAGCCGGTTTCCTGGCCACCCACCAACACTCTCTCCTAACCAGGAACTGTAAGTCCCTTGGAAGGAAGGCTGGCAGGCAATTCTTCCCTTAAGAAGTTAAGTATGTTAATTATTATTTTTTTTGCTTTCAGGGACAGAGCAATAGTACAGAGGGGAAGGCACATGCCTTGCATGTGACTGACCTGGGTTCGATTCCAGGCATCCTATAGAGTTCCCTGATCCTCACCAGGAGTGATCCCTGAGCACAGAGCCAGGAGTAACCCCTGAGCATTGCTGGGTGTGGTCCCCCTCCCCAAACAATAAAATTAAATAAAGAAAAAAATCACATTCACTTCAGTCTTTTCTGTCAAATTAGAGGACCGAAGAAGGAAGAATTAAATAACTTGCATACAACTTTGTTGAGCCCTTGCCTTTAAGGGCAAAATTGAGAAATAAAAAGGAAACAAAAGCTGAGCATGCATCTTCTCAAAGACCAGGTGGCCAGCCCCCTCCACAGCACCATGGGCCCCTGCGCCCCAGGGTGGGGTGGGGGAGCTGTGTCAGGGTGGCTCACATTTGGTCTCTAAGTCAACAATGCCTGAAAGAGGATCTCCACCTTTTGGATCACCCGAAGAAAAGGATCGTCACGCATCACCACATTCACGGATGCTCAGAGCCCGCATGAATATAGCGCCGTGTCCTCACGTTGTGCCCAGCCAGAGCCTGCTCTGCTCCCCAAGCCTGCTGTGACAGCCCCCAGCCCCCCCACGCCTACCCCATCCTGCTGCCCAAGGACCCGCAGAGCAGCTGCTGCCAAGAGGTGGATGGATCTGGAGGCGGCTCCGTGCTACTTCTCAGCTCCCGAAGCCAGTGACCCCAGTGTCCACCCCAAATGCGACCAGTCTCCTCCTGAACAATCTCTATGTCCAGCTCAGTTCCTGGAAGGGAAAAGGCCCACCTGACGGGGGGTGGTGGGGGGCAGTGCTACGGGGGAGCCCCACGCGGGAAGGCCAGTAAGCATCTGATGACTTAACACATTCTGCAGTTTAAGCTTCTTGGGACCTGGGATTTAAACACCAAATACCTCTTTACTCCACGTCCGGCAAGGCGGCACAGCTGACTAGGACCTTTGGGGTGTCTGGGCAAGGGAAGGCTCTGAGGTGCCCAAATTCAGGCTCAGGAGCCAGGACAGGAAGCAGAGACCCCCATGGACGGGTATGTGGAACAGCACCCCCCAGCCAAGCCAGAAGCCCCAACCTGACCCTCGGAACCAAGTTTGATGAAACAGTTTATCAAAAATATTTTTATAGTACAAAGACTATTAAAAAAAAATGGAGGGGGAAGCAATCTCAAATTAAAACCTAGGGAAGGCGGAAGAAAAAGTGCCGACCTACTGCAGGGGGCTCCTGCTCCGATGCTGTCCCCACAGGCGGGTGGACGGGCCCAGCACTCCTACTGCTGGGGGGCGCGGGGGAGGCATCCATCGCAGGGGCGAGGCAGCACCCTACCTCGCGGATGACCAGGGGTCTCTGAGGTTTCTCTGTCCTGGGTCAGGAAGGTAAGGCGGGGCATCAGTGAGTGGGGGGGCCACGGTCAGGGTGGGGATGTGGCCAGTCAGGAAACAAACAGGGTGGCCAAGAGGAGATGGGCAGGCAGAGACCAGAAGCGAGTGCGGTCGTGGTTACTGGTCGGGTGGGTCAGTCATGGGGGGGTGGCCATGGCCAGGAGGCAGGGAGGGGTCACTGGCTGAGCAGGTGGACTCTGGTCAGGAAGACAGGGCGGAGCCAAGCCCGAGGGGAAGACGGGGCTGGACCAGTCGGGAGGGCGGGAGAGGGTACAGCTGCGGGCTTCAGTAGGTGGTGATGGTGCAGGAGACGGGGCAGGGCTCGCCAGGGGCTGGTGGGAGACCAGGAAGGCGGGTGAAGCTGCAGACAGGGCGGGGCCGCCATCAGGGGGACAGGGCAGCGCCACAAAAGGATGGGGCGAGGCCACACAGAGCAAGATGGGATGAGGCCAGGAAAATCAGGGCCTGAGGCCAGTCAGAGAGGTTGGGGTCACGGGGAAGGTGGGGTAAGGTGAGTGAGGGGGGCCCCCTGGTCATCGAGCGGGGCGAGGCAGCGACAGGGGGCTGACAAACGGTTCGAAAGGTCAGTGGGGCCCAGGGCAGGGGCGGGGCTACCACCCCCTGCCAGGCTTTGGCCACGGCCAGGGAGGTTCGGGCAGAGGCCCAAGGGCCTTTCCCTGGGCATGGGCTGGACAGGGACGTGTGACCTGGGGTCACCAGGGCCAGAACCAAGCGAAGGCAGTGGGGCCCTGTCGGTCGGTCCCAGGAACCCGCCATCAGCCTGACACACGTGGGGGAAGCATGAGAGCATGAGGGTCCTCGACTCCCATGGGCGGGGGAGACCTGCCAGCTGGGCTTCGTGCTTTCTCAAGAGGGGCCGCCAGGCAGGGGAGGTGGGGTGGCCTGCGCAGGCCCAGGAGTGGGGGTCAGTCTGGGGGCTCGGCACGGCACATGCCCCTTATCGCTGGGAAAAGCTCACGGCATCATTCTGGTCTGACCACTGGCCGCTCCCCAACTCCCCCCGCATGACAGCACCCGGAGACAGCCGGGCTCTCCTTGGGCACCCCGAGGTCCCAGCTCAATGCTTGTCTCTCGCAAGTCTAGAGGGAGTCACAGCAGCACCTCTCACCTCATCCGTGCCGGGTGGGGGTGCGGTGCAGGAGGGCAGAGCTCGCCAGGCGGGGTCCTGTTCATCCAGCCCAGCACACCCCTCCCATGCGGGCCACTGGGCAGCCGTGTCAGGAGCGGCATTGGGGGGTCCCCTCGCTCCAGGACCTTACGGGCAGGGCCTGGAGCAGGTGTAGAAACCAAGGGATCAGCCTGCATGGGCAGCAAGTTCAGGACCAGCACCACCTGCCGGCACCTCAGCGCACTACAAGTTGGGGACACAGAAGGTCTTCCAGCACCCCAGGGGGTGGGTGGGAGGGTACACACAAGGACCTGTGGTCAATCCTAGTGAGGTTTGCAAACTCACGGCGGGCAGGGAATGCCAGGTCTCCCTCATCTTCCCTGGAGACAGCTGGGCTCGCGTGGGACCCACCATCCGTGACCAGCTCCGGGTGGGTTTCAGGGCACTGTGGAGTCATCTCGGGCACCAGCAAAGCCTCACCTTGCGGGGAGCAGGGCCCTGACGGCTTCACCCTGAGCCCCACCCTGCACTCGGGACAGCACCTTGCCACTCTTCCAAGTCGGATGTCGATGGGCAAATGCAAAAGAAGAGAGGTGGACTGTAAATCAAATCACAAAAGGGGTCGACCCGCCCCACGGCCCTCTCTCCACTCATCAGGTCTTGTTCTCATCGTACATGTCCAAGGAAGGCTCGATGGTGGAGAACTCGCTCTCGTACACTAAGCTCCGAGGGGACAGAGAGTTCCGGTGGAAGAAATGCCCGCCTAGAAAGGAACAAGAGAGAGACGTTACGGGTCCCTGGCCTGCCCGGGGGGCTGCGGAGGCGCCCACATCCCACATCCCCCTGTACTCTGCACCCAGCACTGATGCACGTTTCCAGGTCCTAATTCCACTCACTGAGGAATCAGCCACCAGGGGGCGCCTCACAGCTAACATGGCTTGCCTAGTGCTCTTTTCTTTTTTTTTCTTTTTGGGTCACACCTGGCGATGCTCAGGGGTTACTCCTGGCTCTGCACTCAGGAATTACTCCTGGTGGTGCTCGGGGGATCCTATGGGATGCTGGGAATCGAACCTGGGTCAGCTGCGTGCAAGGCAAACGCACTCCCCGCTGTGCTATCACTCTAGCCCCTTGCCTAATGCTCTTAAACGGATTCCAAGCAGGAGTGAAAGAACTGACCCAGGGACTCTGGCACTGGCCTTGCATGAGGATGAGCCCCAGCAATGCACAATTGTGTCCTTGTCACCAGGGTGCTCCAAGGAAAGACCCAGCTATAGTCACTGAGCACCACCAGGCAATGCTCCTTAGCACAGAGCCAGGAGTAGCCCCTGAGCACTGGGTGTGGCTCTAACCTCCCCCTCACCATCTGCCAAAAGGTGTCCACTAGGAAATCTGCAGATTTTTTCTGAGGGATGTGCAGCCCCTCCCTCCCACTTCCACTGATCACATGTGCTTGGTTGAGCCCGAGTTTGATCCCAGGTTACATCCAGGTTCAATCCCCGGCTTCCACTATGGTTTCCCCCAAGCCGACCCGGTTCGATCCCCAGCATCCCATGTGGTTCCTCCTATCACCAACACGAATAATTCCTGAGTGCAGAGCCAAGAATAACTCCTGGGTGTCAGTCATGTGACCCCCCCCCCCAAATAGAAAAACACAAACCATAAAACTGGAGGGAGATTAAATAATAAGAATAATGATTTTTTTTTAAAAAAAGATGGTCTTTCAATGACTAAACTAAGTCGTTGAAAGGCAAAAAACCAAAGGTTCTAGAAACAATGAATTTGCAATACTGTTTTGCAAATACCTGCTCCCTCTGAGCCCAGGGGGCTTACCTTTTTTGCTCCCTCAACGGCACCCTTTGTAGTGCAAAGGTTTTACGAATCCTTCTGATTCAAGGGACTGGCCGCTCCTTTTAATCATTTACACTTACACGGCTTGGATCAGATTTAACTCAGAAACCGGGGGACACCAAGTTCTCCTGCGTTTCCTGTGTTTAGACAGGAGTGATGGCACAGTGGGGAGGGCACTTGCCTTGCACGCGCGGCTGACCCGGGTTCTATCCCTGACACCCCATCCGGTCCCCCAAAACCACCAAGAGTGAGCCCTGAGTGCAGAGCCAGGAACTCTGAGCACTTCTGGGTGTGTCTCCCCTACCCCACGTTCCCTATGTCTGGTTCTCTGAGCTCCCATCAGGAATCTCGCCAGGAGCCTATACAGGCCAGACATCGTATGCCCGCCAGCCCTTGGTCTTCTCTCCCCAGTGCTCTTAGCAGTGCTCCTCTCCTCAGGCCAGAGAGACAGAACAGCAGGCAGGACGCTTGCCTGGAACGCAAGTGACCCCGGATTGACCCTCGGCACCCCACAGATGATCCTGTGAGCCCGAGGAGGGACCCGAGTGTGGGGTCAGTGGGAAGACCCAGTGCCACCAGGTGTGGCCCCCAATCCAAGTTTCCCCTCCCATTTTAACGAGACACTCAGGGCAATTTCAGTTCGTGCTGGGAATTAATGGTCAAAGGTCAGGGTTGGTAGCTGGGCTGGAGGCAGCTGGAGCATCTGGTATTTTCCTGGGCTGTTCCAGGCATGCTTACCTCAGTGGTTCCTGAAAGAAAGATCTGGGGCACAGGCCATGGGTGTAACTGTGGACACCTTCACCTTGTTTGCTTACAAACACAGACTGGGGCAGGAGGCTGATTTCATTAGGTCTCCTGAGCACCACCCGGCCCAATTAACCCTCAGATTTAATCCAAACATGGCATGGGGCACTGAGAGAAGGGACTCCTGAGCACAGAGCTGAGAGCAACACCCCCGTCAAAAAAAATAAGCAGTCAGAATTCACTTTATAATTTCCCAATGGTTCCCCAGGCTAGAGCTATACATAAGCGAACTCCAGAGAGGCACAGGTTGGTTTGGCCAAAGCAGCACAGGACCTCCCTCTTCCCCAGACACGTTCCTTCTCATGCCTAGAATCTCACCCTCCCATCCAATCAATGGATACATATTGTTTTTATTCTTGGATCCTAATGTGTTCTTGGAGGGGGAGTTTGAGACCACACCTGGCAGTGCTCAGTGTACTACTCCTGGCTCTGTGCTCAGTGTACTACTCCTGGCTCTGTGCTCAGGGGCTATACTGGCACTGTGCTCCAAGTGACCCTTAGTGTGCTCAGGGGCTATTTCTGGCTTTATGCTCATGAGTGGCCCCTGGTGGTGCTCAGAGACCCAAGCGTGGGTCCAGAGGCAGAGTCAGGGCTGTGGCCATCACATTCCCGTCTGCCCTGTCTCTCCAGCCCCTAAGCACAGTTTTAACTTTCAACGATCCCACTGGGTGATAAAGAATAGTTTCACTACAGCATAATGAAGAAGTCAGAAATCCATCCACACTTGTTTTCTGTCATATTAAGTCGTTCTGAGACCTTCAGAAAGGTAACTCAAATTTGATCTTACTTATGGATTTTTTTATAATCAGAGTAATGTGGTTTCAACTGTGTGGATGTAAGTGTCTGAGTTACAGCATCACCTAAGACTTCCACTATCGCCCTTATCAATCAGAGAAATTTTATTCTGAACCTTTATTTTTTTTTCAGGTTTTGGGGTATGCCCAGCATTGCTCATAACTAACTTCGGGCTCTGCAATTAGGGACCACTCCTTATGATGCTCAGGGGACCATACGGGATGCTGAGGATTGAACCCGGTTGGCCATATGCAAGGCAAATGCTTTACCCACTATATTAATAGCTCAGACCCAGTTTGGGGTTTTTTTTTGGGGGGGGTCACACCCAGCTATGCTCAGGGGTTACTGGCTCTGCACTCAGCAATTATTCCTGGTGCTGCTCGGGGAACCATATGGAGTACCAGGGATTGAACCTGGGTCAGTTGTATGCAAGGCAAATGCCCTACCCACTATATCATCACTCTGTAGTACTGTCCTCCCGTTGTTCATCGATTTGCTCAAGTAGGCACCAGTAACGTCTTCATTGTGAGACCTGTTGTTACTCTTTTTGGCATATCGAATACGCCACGGGGAGCTTGCCAGACTGCCATGCGGGCGGAATACTCTTGGTAGCTTGCCAGGCTCTCCGAGAGGAATGGAGGAATCAAACTCGGGTCGGCTGCATGCAAGGCAAACGCCCTACCTGCTGTGCTATCGCTTCAGCCCACTATCACTCTAGCACAGGATATATTTTTTTAAAATGTTTTTAAACTTAAAACAAAAAACTGTACGTGAGGTGGAGTGATAGCACGGTGGGCAGGATGCTTGCCTCGCATGCGGCCCATCCAGGTTCGATCCCCAGCATCCCATGTGGTCCTCCGAGCACTGCCAGGAGTAATTCCTGTGTGCAGAGTGAGGAGTAACCCCTGAGCATCACTGGGTGTAGCCCTAAAACAAAAACAACTATTAGAAAGCGTACTGGAGCGGGTCAAGGGAAAGGTTTCATGGGGTATGCCTTTGCACACAGGGAGTTGGGATCTGACCCCCAGCACCACATTTGGGTCCCTGGCCAGGAGAGTCTGGCCAGCAACTACACCAAGGGCGGGACCCGGACCTGCACTGGGGCGGAGCTGCAGTACAGCAGGGAGGGCGCTCTCCTCGCATGTACTCAACCTGGGTTCAATCAATCCCGAGCGCCCCACAGAGTCCCCTGAGTCCCTCAGTAGTGATCCCTGAGTGCAGAGCCAGGAGTAAATCCTGAGCACTGGTGGGTGTGGCCCAGAACCCTAAACAGAAACAAAACATCAAAGCTTTTTTTTGGGGGGGGGGGGCAGGGGAATGCATATCACGTGGTGCTGGGGGACCACATGGGATGCCAGGGATCGAAACTGAGTCACTGCATGCAAGGCAAGCGCCTACCTGCTGTGCTACTGCTCCAGCCCCCCTAATCCAACTTTGCTAAATAAATACTGGATATCTTTGGTAAAAAAAAAAAAATACCATGCACAAAGAACAGGTATTGTCAGCTGGTAGGTATTTTGGAAATTTTTTTCCTTGCCACATTTTGTATCTTCACCCCATAAATATTTCATGAGCACTGAGTATTTACAGAGCACTGGGCCAGGCCAGAGGGCCAGAGCGGCTGATGCAGCCCCGTGAAATCAGAGCGACGGTGCAGAATCAATCCCCCTTTGAGGTTCTGGGGCCGCCACTGCACCCAGGGAGGCCACCAATGCACCCACAGAAACTGCCGGAGCCAACAGGGTGGAGTCACAGTATTAACTGATTCCGCCAGCCCGCCCAGACACCCTGGACTCACACACTCATTCATATGCGCGCGCACACACACACACACACACACACACACACACACACACACACACACACGCCCTACATGGTTAAGAAAACTCACAGGCTTTTGTTTCTTTTTAAACCTTTTATTATTTCTTTCTTTTAATACAAAGCTTTGGCATTAGCAATTTTATGAAAAAATAAAATGTACTAAAAATAAACGCTTGTGAGGCATGATTGGTAATGATGCATAAAAATAGGTTCTTTTGTTTTGTTTTGTCCTTCAAGGCAATCAGTCAGAAAAGCAGTTTTTTGTTTTTGTTTGGTGTGTGTGTTTTTGTTTTGTTTTTTTGTCTTCTTCAAAACCATTCTACCCTATGAAATAAAAGGGAAAACAGGGTCAATATTTTAAGCCGACAGAGAAAAGGAGCCAAACCGGGGTGGGGGGGGGGGCGGCGGCATGGGAGGGGCGCCCCCACCCCAACGCTCAGGGCGGCAGGAGCTGGGGACCTTTGCCAGAACCACACACTGGCGGGGGTGGGTGCA